CGCTTGTTGCGCGAGGCTCACGGAACCGTATACACTATGCACCCGGGTAGTAACAAGATGTATCAGGATTTGAAGAAATCCTATTGGTGGCCAGCTATGAAAAAGGAAATCTCCGAGTTCACTGCGCGCTGTTTGACTTGTCAGCAAGTCAAGGCTGAGCACCAGGTTCCGACAGGGTTGCTGCACCCTCCTACCATTCTGGAATGGAAGTGGGAAAGGATCACTATGGACTTTGTGATCGGATTGCCACGATCTTCACGAAAGAATGACGCCATCTGGGTCATTGTTGACAGGTTGACAAAGTCCGCTCATTTTCTACCCGTCAGACGTGACTCATCATTGGACAAATTGGCAGACTTATACGTTAGAGAGATAGTTCGGTTGCACGGTGCACCGCTGTCAATCATATCTGATAGAGATCCCCGGTTCACTTCGATGTTCTGGAGAGGACTTCAGAAGGCTTTTGGCACAGCTTTGAACCTTAGTACGGCATTTCACCCTCAGACTGACGGCCAGTCTGAGAGGGTGATACAGATTGTCGAGGATATGATGCGAGCTTGTGTGATCGACTTTGGAGAAGATTGGGAGCGTTACTTGCCGTTGATGGAGTTTGCATATAATAACAGTTACCAGGCGAGTATTCAGATGGCTCCTTATGAGGCACTCTACGGAAGAAAGTGCCGAACCCCGATTTGTTGGACAGAGCTTAGCGAGCGTAAGCTCGAGGGACCAGATTTTGTGCAGGATACCGAGGAGAAGGTTCGTGTGATCAGAGACCGACTCCGCGCCGCTTCGGACAGACAGAAATCTTATGCAGACTTGAAGAGACCGAAGAATCTATGCGAACTCAGTACCCTCATCTCTTTGATGACCAATGACTCAGGTAATTTCGAGGACGAAATTGTTTTTAAGGGGGGGAGAAATATAACGCCCCGAAATCTGGCCCAAAAGAATTAATTAAATTGTTAGAGCAATTGATTACGAATTGGGCCCAAAAAGGGGTTAAAATTATAATTTGGATTCTAAGCCCAACTTTTATGTCATCTCGTAGGAAATATTTTTGTGATCGCGTCGGTTCAGACGGCTCGCGAATCGGAGTTTTGGAGCTCATGTTATGACCATTTAATCAGGTATTTTGGGTCCGAAGCCCAATCCTTTTAGGAATGGGATCATTAAATAAAACCTAAACCTATCTTCTTCCGTTTAGATCTGAGAGTCGCGCACTTCATCGTCACTTTCTTCTTCTTCATCTTCGATCGCCGTCGAGTTGCAGCCGCGAGTCACTGTTCATCGCCGGTCATCCTCCCTTGCCGTTCGTCGCCTCCACTGCCATCGTCGGTCGTCCTCGCCATCGAGTTGCAGCGCCGCCAATAGCCGCTGC